AAGGGATGAACTAAGCTCTGCTGGCCTGCTCTATGCTGTTTTTCATGGATTCTCTATGTTAGTATAGAGAATCTTTGTGGTTTTCTTCTATCATTCTCTTGAATCAGCCTATGACTACTCTTGCTTAATTCTGAACCTACCTCAGATATTCTCATCATCTCACTGGGTGACTGAAATATAAAGGCACTGACAAGCACTCTGATGAATCTTACATCTATGCTTCGTATCTAATATTTTCATACAGAATTTTTCCTCAAAGACATTCAGATATTCACCTTTGGTAGATTTCCAGATTTTCTATCCACGTATTAAGATGCAAATTGCTCTCCTTCTCCCTCCTTAGAGCAATCTGCTAATGCTTCTTTTCATAATATTGTCAGTTTTTAACTTCTGAATGCTCAGTTTTGCAATACTAATGACCTTTTTTTTGGTAGAATATGCAAAATAGAGTAATCTGCTGTTAGCACCACTGGCATCAGTGGTATTATTCCTGCTCTTTGTGAGTACAATGATGAATAGAAATAGGCCCAATGCACACAAGAATAGTTTCTTGGGATCCTCTTCTGGACAATCTTCCATGTAATTGTTTCTTTTACAAAGCTTTCAGGACATCCAGAATTTTCTTTATAAGTCTTTCCTCCATCTTGGAAGAAATATAATAATGTTTTTAATAGGTATGTAATGAATGAAGCTATGAAAATGAAATGAGGGCAGAAGCAGAAAAGGAAGCAATCTTACTCCTGCAGAAAAAAAGATGTATTGCAAGTCTGCTTGCTTTATGTTACTACACGGAAAAGAATTAGTATATCAAATGTTCTCATTTGGTATATTATCTAGCTTCTGGTAGTTCATTTATAGCCAGATGGTCATCAGCTCTGACCTATCTAGTGACCTTTACGCAGTATTTTATATTCTCTGCCTTTATGAACAATCTTTTTCATCCTCTAAAATCGTAATTGACAAAGATGATGTTTCATCCATGATGTTTGCAATAAAAATAATATACCTTCAAGTGCCAACTGACAACATTATTTTCTGAGCACAGGGGAAACATAAATCTTGTGAGACAATCAACTGCTAAATCAATTAAAAAATAGAGGCACTCCAGTTAGCTTTAACTGTTCATTATCATAAGAAATTCAAACACTCGGTGCAGCTGCCTAAGGCATCAGCTAACCTGAACTGAAGTTCCAACAGTTTAGAAGTTGGAAAAAGTTGCATAAAAGTGAAGTTAAAATATTTGAGTACATCTTATCCAGGAAGATGTTGATTAGAGTACAGGATGCCATCTTGACGTGGCTCCTCCCAACCACTGTTAGCCTCCTCAGTTTCTTAATTCCACTGAAGTGACAGACACTGAAATACAGCAGTAGGTCCTATTCATAGCACTTAGAGTAATGGTTTACCACAGAGCTGCCTCACTTCATCCTTGTAGCCCATCAGCTTATCTTAGGAAACAAACAAACAAACCAAACACAAATGCACAGGAAGAACTAGCTGATGCACATAGGGCATTACCAAATCCCTATGAAATCCGTGGGCTGTTGTACAAAAAATTCTAGTTGCTAGCATTAGTGAAGGAATTTTTCCAAGTATTATTGCAAATCACAATATTCCCTTTAGGTTATCACTGACAGAATTTTAAAATATTTACATTATTTATTGCTTCCTGCACCTCCTCATCTAAATGAGAGCTGTAATCAATAAATCATCAGTACTTCACTTTTTTTTTCATTCTGCAGGATGTAAATTGTGTAGCTTTACATTGTTCCTAATCACGTGTGTAATGCCCAGCCTTTCCTAACTCATCAGAAACAAACTTACTTCTAATCAATAAAGGTGCACCTATCATGGGAGTCGTAACTACTTTTATATACTGAGTAATGAATCTAAATAGCATGGGATAAAAGGGCAGCAGTTGTTTATGGATTCCAGCTCTGTAACCTTACAGCTTCTGTAAAGATGAACAGAACTGGATCCACTGCTTAGGCAGTATTTTAATTTTATTCTGATTCTGTGCTTGTAACTCTTCTGGTCTTTCATGAGAATCAAAAATTCTCAACACCTCAGATTCCATTTTACAGTAGGAAGAGGAGAGGAGAGGAGAGGAGAGGAGAGGAGTGGAGAGGAGAGGAGAGGAGAGGAGAGGTGTCTCCATTTCTGAAGCAGTTTTAAAAGGACAGAATTGTAGAATGCATTGCTATCACAATATATTTTCCCCTTCATGATTTTTTTTAAATTTTTAGTGACTAATAATGAATGGTAAAACTTCATAAACAAATAGTTTTGTTTTGTTTTTAATAAAATACTTCCTTCAGGAAACATGAGATAGATAATGAGGCAACAGTAAATGCTGCAGATACAGCTGGCATGCCTACTGAAATGGAAGTCATGTTGGGTCTGAAGTAGTCCTTAGAATGGCATTTTTGAGTACTGCTATACTTCACCCATAGACTTGAATGGAATTTAATTTTACTTAGGAAATTAATTAACTTTATTTCAAACCATAGGGAAAAAAAAAAAACAACACTTAAAACTTCTTACCATTACCTTCAAACTTGTTTCAAAGGTGTCTTTTGATAAGAAAAACAGCCCATTAATCTGAATGACAATTCTTACTGCTCTCAAAATGAATCCACTTAAAAAGTCTGGGACTTCTTATGGGAAAGTTTAAAACTATTATATTTCAAATTAAATTTGAAGACACCGCATATTGAGATGCATTTTTTTTTTTCTTCCATCACTTTTAATTACTTGTAAATTTGCATGAAAATAGGATCTTTATTTCTTTAAAGATCATCTGCTCCTGCTGCTTTTTCTTCATTGAAGATGTCACTTACAAGGGGCTACATCTTCAGGTAAGGTAGAAGCAAGAGCAGATGGGCTCAGAAGAAAGAAAAATTTTATGCACACATTATTTTTAATACTAAAATAAAAAATGAGGATAAGAAGTGAAAATACATGCTCTGAAACCAACATTCTCGTATTTTTTCCAGGAGATATAGCTGTCTCCAAACAAAAGTTATTTTAAACTTTAAAATTGAACTTAGAGTATGAAAATACAATATAAAACTCTAAAGATTCATTAGATCACTGTTTACTCAGGAAGATCCCCTAGCTTGATACTAATAGTATAATTATTATATTATATTATTATAATATATAATTATTTACTGCACCATAAGGAAACACAAGGAGCATGCAGTCTTGTTCATTTATGCCCTCAAGATAAGACTTACCCCTTCCTAAAGGAAAAGTTTCTAATTCTTGATGGATGTTTCTAAAACACACGGCTGACTCTCACCTCAACAGAAGCATTTGTTTTGCAAAAAATCAACCAGTCAAATGCTTATGCATTAGTGTGAACAAACCCTAAGTAGGCAACAGTGAAAGACCACAAAGTGTGAATGACTTCCTCGCTCCTCCATGTGCAGATCCACTTGAAACACAATAGTGGAACACATTGAGAGAGTTTGCACTGCCATGTACCTATGCTTTTATAGAGAATTGAAGCTATTTAAAACCTGGTGGCCCTTAATATATGGCTTCCTGCTTCTACTTCTCAATAATGAAGCTTGATTGCAGCTATCAACATAAACAAATTCATGAAAATTGTAACGAGAGCGCGCAATAAAAGTATTTTAAAAAGCCTCCAAAGAGACTCACACATTGAAATTAAATGGTTCTGCTTTTAAAAGAGTTATGTGTTCAGTGTTATTGACAGTGAACTGGTCTTTAGATAGCTCTGCACAGTTCCACAACAAACTTTTAGAGGGTCATTGCAACTGCATGCGAAAGGGAAGGGAAGGGAAGGGAAGGGAAGGGAAGGGAAGGGAAGGGAAGGGAAGGGAAGGGAAGGGAAGGGAAGGGAAGGGAAGATTTTAGAATGGGAGTCCTACTAATTAAAATATGATTGTCAAAACTCCAGAAGTGATATTTGACCTCATTTCTTTTGGTACAGAAAATGCCATAGAGATAGAGGCAAGGCCCAGCAAGTACTTCACCTGTGGACAGGAAAAACTGACAGTGCATTCATATACTCAGATTCAAATCTCCAATCCAAATAAATTGCTACTAATAAGAACAAAGCACAGAGTCCCTTTTACATTGTTTTACCCTGTTTAAAAGACAAACATTTGCACACTGCAAGCCTCAAATGGATAAAAGCTACCATGAGAACTTATAAGCCATCTGCTAGCTTACTAATGAAGCCAGTAACTATTATTGTTTACAGTTGAACACCGGGGGTCATGCGTATTTGCTGTAATGAAAGAATCAATGCATCACTGCAGATGCTAAAAGAGAACTTCTTTTTTTTTTTCCAGACGGCTAATTATAAATACAATAAAATAACAAATTAAAAAAAAATCTGTTCATATCCACAGAGAAATAGTGCTTGGCACACCACATGCAAAATGCAGCACTCTTCTGTTGTCTAGTAGTCTCTACTTGATAGACTCAGCTTACAGAAACAGAATTACAAAAGTTACTCTTCAACACTAAACAAATAGCTGACCACCAAGGAATGCTTTGTCCCTAATTCTCTAATCTACACAAACCTTCTGCATTATTTAATTGTTTGGTTTATCTGAATGTAATGATGAAATGTGCATTAGCAAGCAGACAGATACTTCTTATTGTTTCACTCTATTTCTCTTGCCTGAAGAAGACACTATGACACAGAAAAACTTGGCTCAGTTGAACTATTAAAAATGCCCTGAAGTTTCTTACAGTTTTTAAATGTTAGCTGATACACAGCACTGATACAATCCATTTCTGGTTTACTGCTTAATCACTCAAAAATGTACACAATAACATTAATTTACAACACCTAGCAAAAATAAACAATGGTAAGTATTTGGACATGTGTACCTCATGAAATTCTTAAATTCACTGAAAACAAGACATTCATTCTGAAACCTCCTTAATGGCCTTCACATGTTCTAAGAATGTTCTTTAACTTCAGAAAAATTTCTAAAGCCTGTAAGGTAAGAGCTTACTTGCTTTGCTGAATTGAAACATCACAAATGACTCTTCAAAGACCTCTGGTACCCTGATGCATGGTGCAGCCTTCTTGCAGCTCGTACTCTTCTTAGTCCACCTACAGCACATGAAGAAATACTTATTTACTGTGTGACCAAAACACACAGACATCCTAGACAGGTGGGTTGGGGTAGGCAGGAAAGCTGTTTTATTGTAGGTACCAAATCAGTAAACAAGTTAGGAAAGAAAGGACAACATAAATTCCTCTTGTACTGTGATGCATACTTACAACAAGCTGCACCTAAACTGGAGACAGAAACAAAAGAAGCTGCTCACAGAATACTGACGGTATTTTCATATTGTGGCAGTGTGAATGCCCAGTGGATAAGAGTGAGCAGAGTTCATTACTGGGAGCTTGCTGGAAGCTGCTGGCCCCACTGCACCCTTTGCTGTGACCCTCACCTTATTCATGAACCACAGACAAGTGGCCAGAGTGTAAGGCAAACTAGCTGTGTGGATCACCACGTAAGCACACCCCACGTGTGCTCCTTGAGTATGTTTGTGCCTGGGACACTTTGTGGAAGGAAGGTGGAGATGCCTGCTTAGCATCCATGCCTTGCTTTGGCTGACCTAGCTGCACTTCTCCAGAGAAAATTCCTGAAAGAGCCGAGCGGTCAGAATATAGACAAGGATGAGGAGGAGGAATGAGTTTCAGTTCCCACCCTGACTACGTTTCTGTCTTTGTGGACTTAAGTAAATAATTTATATGTCTTAATTCTCTGTTTTGTAAAATGCCCGAGATAATACTTTCTTCCCCAAACCACATACAAACATATATGAATGTGCTTGCTTCCCCAAATTACAGGGGAGTTGCAAGAATTAATTAGTTAATGTTTGCAAAGTGCTTTGAAGGCAGAAAGCACTCTATAAAAGCTAATTATTAAATCAAAGGTTTATCTGACTTTATTACTAAACCACTAATAAAATAAGTTACATAGCATGTGCGGGCTGGAAAAGGCACTTTCACTGTCTAAAAGATATAAAGGTTTTAATTAGCAAATGTTTTGAAAGCGCTTTGCTGATGAAAAAAATGCTAAATGTTAATAAAGGTTTTCCCTAATGAAAACAGCTACAAAATATGAACTCCTGGATGCTACTGTAACTTCCACATGTATCATTGAAAGTTTTGTCCCGTGAGAACAATCTTTTTATTTGAGGCACAATTGTTGTAATATTGATGAACAAAATCGTGGTTATTGTGTCAAATAAATGTTCAGAAGCAGCAAGAGATTAAAGGTATCATTCTTAGCAAAGAATAGCAAAACCTAATGTATTGTCAAATTACACACATATACACATACTATTTTTACTATTTAGCTTAACATTGCATTTTGCTAAGCTTCCCAGCTTCTGCTACTTTACAAAGTTCAGCTTTTCCAAACACTCTACATGCACATGTGACTGGTTATCCACATGCTATCTGAAAACCTAAGCACGCAAACACATTTGAATCTGTCACACGCAGGCAGTTAGAAAGACAGAATTGTGAAACTTACTCCAGCCTTCTGACATACAGTGGTTTGAAAAGGAGTTTGAAAGTACGTAGACACTGATACGTGTGATACCTGTTGTAATGCCTGCCTGTGTCTGTGGAAAACACGAAACCTTGAGTAATGAGAAAAGCTCCATTAAACCACTCTGCTGCAAGGGGAGAGGCGTGCCAGCATCCTTCCTGCTTTGCATGGTGCTGATGGCAGGAGCATGAGAGTGCGATCAGTCAGACCCACTCAGTGAAGTACTGCAGCCTGGCTGCCAAGGCAGAAGCTGCCCTTTTCCATTGCCCAAGAGATGAAATACCAAGTGCTGTCCCTACTGCTTCCACCAGAAAAGAAAGCTTCAGGTGTTGCTGCTCCAGAAACCAAGGGGTATATGCCACTTTCTCACAGATCCAAAAGGTCTCTCTAAAATCCCAGAGCAAGGGAAATAACACGTTTTCATTAATGTGAGCCATCATGCTCAATCTCATGGGGCAGGAAAACGTCCAGAAGATGATTTGTTACAGAAAGGGGTTGTGCCCTTTTCTGTACTCTCTTCCAAGCAGCTTGGATGAATCAGAGCAGCAGCAGAAGTGATAATCCTTCATCACTGCATCTACTTGTCAGGTTGTCCTGAAGGAATTAGAAGCAAGATTTTTGGGAAGGTGGGATGGAGGGTTCAGGGCTGGAGAAAGGAAGAGCCACCTGGGAATAAATGGGAAATGAAGAATGCTCAACTGATTTGGTAAAATATCAAATAAGTCTTTAGCAGAATAAACTTCAGATTACTGATCTTCTCTAAGTCCAGCTTTTTTGGTATGTTTTCTTGGGTTACAAAATTACCTCATAGAAATACGATTATTTTAGTTTTTCAAAACTGTTCCTGAATAAGTAATAAAAGGATAGTCCAGATTATTTTGCAGTTAGTCTAAAACTATGTACAGTGAAAAGCATCAAGATTGCAATTGCATGTAACAATCAGTGTTGATTACATCCCAGTGCTTATCAGGAGAAGAAAGGCTTTGCATTGCGATCCCCTGGCACTGATAGCATTTGGCATGGAGGAGTCACGCTAAGGATTTTAAATAATTGGACTTAAAAAGGACTTCCCTTGGTGCTGCAAAAGCATCAGCTGTCAGATTATACTGGAGAGGAAACAGAAAGTTTTGACATACCCATTACGGGTTGTCTTTCATCCATCACTCTTTGGCTAAGTTCAAGGTCTCTGGGTTGGCTTGGGTTGGTGGCTTTTTTGGCTATTTCTTAGTTTTCAATACGTTCTTCAGTTCATTTTTTGACATTGTTTCCAAAAATCTGACATGGCATGACATCATAATTATTCTGTCAGGATGATTTGGTATATTTCAACATAAGAATCTTCTGTAAATAAAGGGAAGGGATAAGAAAGAATTTTAGCTCTGCAGTCTCCTTTAAGGCCTCTGATTTTACTCTGATTTAGAAATGTCATGGTTCACTGAAAGCTTACCAGAGTGAGTTTAATGGATTAGAATATGTTATTAAAATGAGACTGCTAGAGAATTGTATTCCACAGATGTGGAATATTGAGAGGGGAGATTAAACAAGCTGACTTGCAAGAGGCCTCTGCTGCATTAAAAGGCAGTGTACATTACGTTTTCTTTCATGGGTTACAGGATGAAGGACATGAGTAGATGTTCACTACAACAGGCAGTGTTCTGAAGCCATCAGCTTTTCTCTGTACCTTTCTTTATTTACACTGAGACACAGAAACCGCTTTCTTAGAGATATATAAGCAGGAAAGAGTGAAAAGACCTATGAAAACAACCTATAACTTCAGAAATGTACATATTTATCAGTGCGACCTTTGCTTTCTCTTAAAAGTATCTCAAAGACTGTAATTAGTGGTTAAGTATAGCCTGAGAACAGTTCCTTCCCTATAAGCAGTATAGAAGGAACACTGATTCTGTGCCTTAGTTTCACATGATGTCCTCCAATACCTACTTAAGCAGCTTAGTGCTGCTCCTGAGCATCACAGTAAGCCTTCCTGGGACCTGAAATGTTGTGGCATATGGTAAAGAGATCTACTAGAAGAAAGAACCAGTTCTGGTGGTAAGTCCCAATGGAGGGGAGCTCGTTGGATGCACAGGACGACCTGAGGCACGGGTTGGGCACGAGGATGGCAAAGAGGATGTCAACTTCTCCAGCTCTCACAGAAGCTGCTGGTGTGACAATCAGGCATTAGTGCTGTTTCTAGTCCATGGAAGGATGTATAGCACACTCATCTCCATTTGGAGCTTTTCCCAAGAAAACACAGGGGCAAAACTCAGTATGCCTGGTTTGGCTTTGTCTGGGTTCTGTCGCACAAGAGCAAGATGGCTTCAGTGATAACTGCAGCCACAGACTCTAACAGCAGATGTCATTGCTGGCAGTGCAGTCACTGCAGGCTGTTCACCCCATCAACAGGTACTGGGCTGACTACAGCCACCAGCAAGACTGGTCAGGGTGTGGGGATCCAGCAGATCATCAAGAATGGGACAATGTGGTAGCAGAGGTACGACAGCTGGCACCAGTCATGGAGCAAGCAAGGCCCACGGTGTCAGATGCACTGTGAGCCCTGTCCTGACAAACCCCACAAGAACAAAAATGTGAGGTGGGATGGGGAAGGCAAGGAAAATAGCAAAAGCCAGCACCTGACTCTGAAGAAGTCCCACCAAATCCTGGTATAAGCATAGGAGGTGAAACTAGATGGAAACTGTGCAACAGCCAGCTCTTGCTTCACTCATCTTGAAGGTATACTCTACTCTATTTCCTCAGGTCGAAAGACATTGTTATGCAATCTGAAAGAAAAATAAACTTTTTTTTTTTATTTTAGAATTCCTGGATTGGGAAGCAGGCAGCTGTACAACAGTACCATCGTTCTGTTGTGCATCATATTTTTTGAAATAAGGAGACGAGGTGGTAAGCAATCCATGAGTTTCTGAGCTAATGCCTGAAAGCCTCACCTTTTCCTCTTTATAAGAGAACACTTTTGTTTTCATTGCTGAAGGTGGCATATTGAGTTGGAGAAACAAGTGTGAATATTTCCATTTTAAAAAAAACAAAGAAGCCTGTTGTGAATGATGATACCACTGAAGGCTGTTGAGATCACTATCCTATGCCTTTTCTACTCATTTCTACTCATTGCCTGTCTAGGCTAAGAGGAAATCAGTATAGATCCTAAACATCCAGCCAACTGTTGATTTGTTGGGACACCACTGCTGTAGGTGTGAAGCCACACCTGGAGTCCTGGGCCATTCCAGGCTCCCCACTGCAAGCCAGGCACACACGTCAGAGAGAGTCCACTGAGGGGCCACAAAGATGATGAAGGAACTGGAGCATCTCTCCTATGAAGAAGCACTGGTTCTGCTCAGTCCAGAAAAGGCTCGGCGTGGGGAGGCACAGGGAAAAAGGAGCTTATCGGTGTCTTTAAATACCTGTAGGGAGAGGTGAAGAAGACAAAGCTAGGCTCTGTTCAGCGGTGCCCAATGCCAGGACAAGAGGCAACAGGCACAAATTAAAACACAGGAGGTTCCCTCTGAACATCAGACAGCTCTTTTTCACTGAA